TTAACTGATAACGGGGCTAAAATTGATGCCGAAGATGCCTTGCAGGTAACCGCTTTTTATAAGTCTCTTGAAAAATCGCTTAAAATTTCAAAATTTTTCCAATTTTTGTCTGTTTTGTAGAAAGAAAACTTGAAATTGTGCGTTGTTTTGCACTTCAGCAAAACACACATTATTTTTCATATTTTTGACTTTGCACAGAATAATTAAAATTTTTTTAAACACCTATTTTTGTTGCTTTTCAACTCAAAGAACTGCTTTTATTCAGTGAAGATTAGTTTATTACAATCTAAACATGAAAATGAATTAATACAGCAACATTTTTTCTTTAGCAAACTCCAGTGCATTGGGCAACAGATGAAGGAAACGTTGAAGTAATAAAAGTTTTAGCCGAAAAAATCAAGAAAGATGACATCTTCAATACAAAAAATTATTTAGAGGTGAACGTTCAAAACAAATGTTAAAAAACTGTGTTAAAAGTTGGATTTTTTTACCGTGTCTCTTCTTTCGAAAAAATTTTTTAAATTTATACATTTATAAATAATATCTAAATTTTTTTTTTGTGTACAAAAATGATAATTCCAAACTGCAGAAATTTCTTAAGCGAAGAGTTTACGAAATTTTAGTGTAACTAATAACGATAGTTTTATGTTAGATTGTGTCAATTTGAAAAAAAAAATACCGCAGAACAATTGTAGTTTAAAAATGGCTTACTAAAAATATTGCGTGAAGTATCAATACAAAAAAAGTTGTGAAAACTCTTTTTCAGCGTACGCCGTTGCATTCTGCAGCTATTAAAGGAAACGTCGAAGCTGTGAGGGTCTTGGTCGAAAATGGTGCAGACGTCAATGCCAAAGATAGCTTGCAAGTAAGCGATCGTTGAAAGCGTTGAAAAATCTGTTGACCCCAAAAAGAAAATTCAGTTTGCACTACCCACCGATAGTCAAGCATACATTAGGCTCAACCGTTGGCCCTTCAGAAATACGGATCATCTTTTGCACTCTACAATCATTCCATATTCTTCAGTTGAGCTGTTTGCCATCTTAAAAAGCATTTGTGATGAGTTTACAAGATAAAACTTCATAAACATATGAGCTAGCTTTGCAGAAAGAAGATGAGAAGTAAGAAAAAAGTGGTAGAGAACTAAACAGTTGCCTCTATTACGAGGTAACAGTCATATAATATGTGAAAAAAACATTATTTGTTTTATTGAAAAAACATTACTTTTTTATTCAAATGATCTTATAAAAAAAGTAGTGAGACCTACTAAGCCTGACGTCACAGAAATTTTTAATTGTGTAAAACAGTATCTGTTTTTATGACGCCATCGAAGGTTCACCTGCTCTCGGTTTTCAACACGTCTTCAGTAATACTTTTTCATTCCAAAAATTTGTCTAATTTTGCACTTAAGAAGAAATTATTGAAAACTGGAACAATACATATGAAAAAATCTGTTATAAATTACAAAATTTTTGAAAGAGATAGTAGAAGAATGCAATTTTGTTTTATAAATTACAGAATTAGAAAGCATAAACAGTAAACATTAATAAATTTTAGAGAAAACTGACTACTGTTTTTGACTATTACTATAAAAGAAAAGAATCTTGCGCAAGCTGAGCAATTTACCTTTTTTTGCGATTTTATTTTTTAGTAATTAAATAAAGTGGTTTGTTCTGTGGAAAAAAACGTGAGATGAAAGAGACGTGAAAAAAGTTGAAAATCTATACTTTTTCTGATTTGGCTGGAAGAAAATGTCATGTTGATAAACGCATGAAATTTGCTAACAGTTTCGTGTAAAACAAAAAATCTGATTGCATTTTGCAGAAAGTTCCTCTTGACGTTGCAGAGGGAGAAGACGTGCAAAATTTTCTCACTGGTAAGTAAGAAAACAAAAAAATTCCTTATCTTAAACTCACTTACTCAGCTTTTTTTCTGCAATTTTTAGTTTTTCTTAGCAGAGGAATTTCTGTATTATAAATGTACTAAAGCCTGCTACTGCGATTAGAATATGTATAAAGTATAGAACTATTTTTTACACTACTTTTACAAAAGCTTAACAACGAACAATT